CACTCTTCATAATGAAAACTACAACTCTACTTTATAGGTAGTTTTATTATAAGTTATAGTTAAGGACTTTAGTTTGGTTACTCATGTTTAGGATTTGTTCTGATGTTATTTTATTGAATAGTTTAAAACAATTTTGTCGTGGAAATCATGTAAAAACAGGCATTTTAAGTAATTGGTAAATATGAAAAACCATTAACATCTTTCGTTTTTGGTAAAAATACAAATAGAAACAAATAAACTACTTATTTCTATAAATATATAGATAATGGAAGAATAACTTTTTCTCTCAAAAATGCAATACCGGAAAGAAAAACTACTTGATATAAATACAAACTGCACTTTTGGGAGAAAGAATAGAATATAGAAGCTGTTTTTTCAGCAAAACAGAATAGTAAAAAGAATAATTAAAATAAATTAGAAAAAGAGACAAAGAAGAGCAAAAAGAAAAAATAAAAACAAAACCAAGACCAAGACCAAGTCCAGAAATAGAATGGGGAAAGCATAAGTACCCCAGTCGACAATCTTAAAAATCACATGGATTTTTCATTCTCATTTCAAGCCGTTTTCCATACCGATAACGCGCCACTGTGCAAGAGCCTAACTCAAAAGTGTACGAACGAGATAATTAACACAATGCGAGATTGCAATGATCCTGACATCGAGCCGACAGAAATGAGTAACATTTTACTTCAAAAGAAAGAACTAGTAGAGAACTTAAAGACGTTGATTGACTATATGAAAGAGGAAGTCAATGTCATTGGTGACGAAGAAGACCAAAAACCATCGAAGGAGATCTACGACGAGAGTTTGAAAATAGTCGCGACACTCGAAGACCTTCAACAGAAAGACAAATTGGACGCCGACGGGATTAAATTGTTTTGCACGGCAATGGTCGATATCATTAAACATGTCTTAGACATCGTCATCTTAACAGATAAGTGGTGTGTCCGAATCGCAATTAACTACGTTGATAGAATATATGCACAGGTCTTGGCTTCGGTCAAGGCGTATAAAGAGATCGGAACGTTAGATAAACTCGACGTCGCGAAGTTAATTAATAACATCGGCACTTTAACTAACGCTTTGTCGGTATTCACAGAAACGAGAGCTTCTGTATATGACGACGAAGAGAAACAAAAACGGATGGAGGAGTGTTCAAAACAACTCAAACCCTGTTTCGACAACTTCATTCGATTCATCTCGGGATATTCAGACGACAAAAACTCGTTGTTGTCATTCAAAACTTTTTACTCGAGACAAAGAAATCCTCCAAGACCCCGTACAATTCGCTACTTCTATCGACGTCAACAGAAAGACGACTTGGACTCGATCTACGACAATTTCCAAAAATAGTCGACGACCCGTCATCGACGAAGATG